GGTGGAAATGGAAACGTGCTAACCATTTGTGCCATCGAGCCCCTCAAATACAATTTTACCCTTCTAACATAAATAATGCAATTAACCCGCTCCGCTCATGACTGTTGCGTTAGCTTCATACGTAAAGCCAGTGTAATGGTAACTTCGCCCAGAGAACTTACAAGCAGAACTCCTATGATGTACGGTAATTGTTCATGTGCGAATAACTCTTGTTAATTTTTCTTTGAAAGTTGTTTACGTTAATTTCGGTGCGGCGTCTGAGGCAATAGTTATTTGTATACAGGAATTACAGTTAGTACAACAGTCCAGTAACCATTTTTGTTTTTTTAATGGGATGACAAACATGTGTATGTCCCGCCTGGTAGTAAGCGGCCACCATGGCCTATAGACGCTTGCGATACCAAAAAATCACTCGCGCCATTGCCTACCCTTTTTTTTAACGCAGGTAAAAAATGCTGTTTACAGACGACGGCGCCTTTAAGAGGCACACCGCCGAACGGACCTCACACCTGGCTCCCGCTAGTCTTACGGACCCCCCAGTGGCTGACCACCTAGGACCCCGCAACTCTTACGGGCGCTTTACGGCATAATATCCGCTAAAAAAGTCATGTGAATACTTTCTACACTGATCAATGCGAAGGGTCCCCGTTTTGGGTCCATTGCCTACCCTGACCCAATCCACTTTATTTTTTCGATGACTGAGAGAAAAAACTCATTATATCCATGATGATGACCAACGCCGCGTTGGCTTGCTATGAACAAACCCTCGCGACGCAGGTAAGTGCGTGATGCAAAAGTAAATGAAATATAACCACAATATTAAATTGAAAATATCAAACAATATATTTTTTGAAATAATTTTGTCATAAAATGTTACTTCATGTTCTAACAGTTACCTGGCATGGCACAAATCGACACAAAATGTCAATCATAACTTTTAATGCAGTTTAGATCTTTAGTGAAGATTAGAATTGTATTATTTCTTGATTTTTAATGATTTTGTTTTTATGAAAGCGGTTTATTTAAAGTATTATATTTTTGAATTAAAAAAGTTTTTTGTATAAGAACTAATGCACCTTATGTTTTGCCAGTACTCCCGAGTGGATTGGTAAAACGCATAAAATTGTTACTAGGTAGGTAGGTATACCTCATTAAAAAAAACACGGAATTGTGTAACACTTCATTAACGAATCACAATTGAATATAATATACATTACTGTGTTCCAAGCACAGCATCTTTTATGCTTCGATACACTCAACTCATTGTATGCTAAGTAATATTCAAATCTCGAACGCTTTTGCGGAGGCATCTAAAACAAGTTTATCTCTTCCGCCGGAATATAAACCGACGCACTAAAATTACTCTTACTGCTATCGTATTTAGGTATCGGTATCGTTTTCGTATAAGTAATTAAGTTTGTATAATCTGGGCGCACAGTTTCGAAATGTCACGGCATACGGTCTATTATTTTCACCCACGCGGTGCTGCGCTGTGGGACCCAATGGTATGTGTGTGCAATGGAACTGGTTGGAGATTCACAGGTTTTTAGAAAATATATGCAAACTCTGTTAAGGTACAAGGAAACCTTTTCACAAGAACAAGAAAACAAAAAAGTTTGTCTGTCAGTCAGTCAAAAGTCAAAACATTGTCAAAACTAAGTTATTGAAAAAATAGTACATAACTGCAGCGGCCAGCTTATAAGATATTAATGAACCAACTTGTAAATGTGGGTTGAGGCGAAGCCGACGCACACATAGCCCATCAATGCCTAGTTATGGCCAAGGCTTGTATACTACTTTTCAGAAATATTGTGCGAAATTTTAAATTAAGTAGTTAGTAGCTAGACAGAACTTGTTATTTGAAATAGTACATTCCCGTGTCAGTGTTCCTTTGTTTTTTTTCAATAAACAGCTTTTTATTTGCAACGCTGTTCCAAATTTAAAAACAACGAATTGGCGACTGTTGTGTGAATCCGGGGCGTTTGACAGTATCTTACCATGTAACAAAAAAAAAGTAAACGTATTTTTCATCCCACCACCTCGGAAAGTGTAATTTTGCGCTTCGAAATCTGGCTGGAAAATTCTATTTTATTCGCTTGAGCGGCAAAGTAGATTTGAATTTAGAACATCACATATAATGAGTACTCAATATAATTGTAAATTCAAAACGTCATTAAACCTATTTAATGTAACCTCTATGGTGCCAAATTTATGATTAGATCTTTTTAAATTGTGAAAAAATTTAAATTTGGAACCTTCTTGGTTTCTTTGTTTTATTTGCGTGCTTCGCGCCATTCTAGTTTTTCACGTTTTATTGCTTAAATATTTTGTCATTATAAATTGTTTTCTTTTTCATTTTGTCATTTCCTCGCTGAGGTGGGATGAAAAGTTACGTATTGCACTCGAGTGGAAAGATTTTTCACCTTGTGCTCGTTTGTTTCCCTCGCTGACGCTCAGGATTCTAATTTAGAATCACTCGCTGCGCTCGTGATTCAACTTTAGAATCCTTCGCTTGCTCGGTCATCCAAATCGAGCACGCGGTTAAAAAGGAACTTTCCACTCTTGTATAATAAATAACTATTTTCGATGGTTTTAAGTGACCCTGATACCCTTTTTCGTCTACATCCCTGCAGGCCTACTCTATTTCAACGAAAAACGAAATTTCGCACGTTCCTTACTCTGTTTCTATTTCGTTTCGAAAATTCGTTCGTCCGCAAATAGTTTGACATTTAAATTCTCTAAGCCTACTCTATATATTCACAAAACTTTTGAACTAAAAGTTGAATTTGACAGATAATTGTTTGAAATTTTAACCTCAAATTGACGAAATGAAATGTGTTACCTTTTCATTTTCGTTTTGGGATTTTTGTTTAAATTAAACCTAAAATTACTACTAGAGTATTTTTAATTAAGGCTGCTTAACGTGAGGAACATTTTTTAGTATAATAGATTTACAAGTAAATCTAATTTTTCTTTGTTAATGTATTGCCAATACTTCAAAGTGTTACACGACAAATTTAGGTTGACATACAATCGATTGCATCAACTCTACAAATTAGTTGGCTAACACTGTCAAAAGAGGTTGTTTTAATGTAATCAAAAATGTTGTCATAAAGTAATATTGTTTTGAAGTAAAAAAGTTATCTAAAAAATGTAGACGAAAAGAACTCACAAAGATAACTCATTCCATTCGTTCACGATAATTGTCTGTGACTCCGAACTTTATGTGCGTGTTCGAAGATGAAATAGAGTAGACTCACTAGCAAAATTTCGTTTAAAATTCGTTCGTTGCCGAAATTTCGTTTCGGAGAAAGAGAGTAGAGCTCCTGGACCTCTGAAATTTCAAAAATTGGATTTGATATTTGATCTGACTGTATGATAGTAAACTATCAAACACAAAAAATAAAACCTTTGATAAGTTACCTCCTTGGTTGCAATGTTTCGGAGTAAAAGATCGTTCCCTTTTTAAATTACACGACAGATGAACTTTCTATGTAATTTATATGGCCGCTAAATACGACACATATTGATTTTCATACAACTTTTGCCGGTCGCTGCTCGAAGAATATCTGGCCATTATAAAAAAATCGCTTTATCTCGAAGAAGGTTTTCAAAATAATGCTCAAATATCCAAGCATGTTTGAGAAAAGTATATATGAAATTTGGTGACTACTTACTAGTTACATTATGTGAATAATATAGGTTCGTACATAGATACAAATTGTAGTGTCATTATGAGAGTAAGTACAACAGAAGCTAACATAGCAATTTAATGATAAGTTAAAATAGATAGCTAAATAAAGAAAGTACAAATTATTATTAGAAACTGTTTTTATTACATTTGATTTTAGTTTGTAAACAGATTGATCTCTAGTCTATTTTGAAGGACAACCGAATCCACATCACTGATTTTATTTGAAATTATTGCTAGAACTGATATACTAGCACCCTCAACTTACCACCACTTCCTAGTGGAACTCTTTAAAACTTAAAAGTGATAGGCAAGTCACAAAAACCAATAGGTATATTAATTTTGTTTGTTTTTCTTTTTGTTTGAAAAACACCGGTCCCAACACACCTTTAATTCTTATCTTGATATATAATTATGTTTAAATTCCAAACTTCTTAAAAGTAAAGATCCGTAAGATAAAACTCCGTTTCGAAGATCCTGCTAATGAACCGAGTTAAATCAAGTAACTGCAAAGCATGAAGCAACTAAAAGAGAACAACCATTTTGGTACTGATCTTGTAAAAACATATTTTTTTTGGTATTATGTTAAGCATTAAAAAGTAAGGAATATAAGCTTAAAACTGTGAAACTCAAAATATTATAAAACCTTTAACGTATAAATGAACGTAGTTTGCTTTTATAAATGTTAATAAATTGTAAGAAAAAAAGTCACGTATAAATTGGAGATTTTTAACTCCAAATCTCAGACAAAATATTATATAACTAATAAAATATAACGACTTATCCACCAATATCGATAAAATATCGATTGCCTATTTGATTTTTTAAATGCTCACGTAACTAACGTAACTTATAATGACAGTGTCTGTCATTATGACAATGGCAATTGCAATAAAATTGTCTTTTTGCTTGCAATGCGAATGTTTTTCTGTTTTTTGTGTTTACCGATTCTTTTATTGGCCCTCAGCATATTTTTTAATAATTTGTGATGAATTATCATAAACATAAACAGCTTCGCTCTCCATCTGGTCAACCATCTACATGTTGAGGTATCGAATTCAATTTTATTAAGGACTGGCAGTATACGTTAACAATAAGCTTTACAATGGTAAGTATATATTTTTCTCCTGTACAAAGAACTTGTATATGTACCAACCCCCCATACAAAGTGATTGTTCTCCTTTGCGTACCAATGGAACCAAAGACAAAACCACGATGAAAAACATCGTTGCACCAAGTAGCAGACAGCTCCAACAATGTAACTAAATGGCTGTCGCCAGAGATAGTCATTCATTCCAATTGCACTCACCTTTCCGCTCTAATGATCGCGCATTGTCAACAAACCATCGCCCACAAAACAAACGCTGACACAGTCACAACACTATGCATGACGTCACTTCCTATACCGCACCATTCATAAAACTAAATCGAGCATCGATTCTGTTATGTCGTATCACTAGTCACTGGGTCCTGAACTCGCGACGAAACATGTGACGGCACTATCACTTTTTATTTGAAAAAAAAGAAACACCGGGTCTACTTTTTTCTTTTTTTTTCTTTTTTTTTTCGTTTCAAAGCTTCTTTTTTCGAAAAGTTTTTATCGGACGTGTGTGTCAGTCGCGGCGCGCGCACTATTGAGCGCGTGCAGAGCCTCCGATCGCCCCCGCGATTTTTGGCGCGTGGGCGCTCCGCCTCAGCCTGCGCCGGCACCCAAAACGAATTTGCGTAATCTAAAAGATAATAAAATGAGCCACACAGATAAACTTTATACCACGAAAACGTTTCCGATGTAGCTCGATATTGGGTATAAAACGACCGCCGACAGCAGGGGACCGCTCGAAAATGGCGAGCTCTCCTCATATATGTACGTTAGAATTTTAAATGAGTATCGAATAATGCATTCGACATAAAAAGCTATCGGCGGCAGCTAACAATATTATGTGGTGGTGCGTTGGGACGCCAGTTCTCGTACAGGGCCTTGTAAGGAGAAACGGGTTCGTCCGCAGTCCCACACGTTTGACTTTTTGCGGTTCTCTGGAGGGAAGAGCTAGGGATGTCACTGACCAGCGTTGGTTGAGCTCCCACGTCTCTAAGCCGCATGGAGTGTGTAAAGGTTTCTCGGTAACAAAGATAGGAGGACAGGTCTTGTAATATTGGTCAGCATTCACCAAGGAAGGATCATTGCACAGGTCATGCGCTTGCAAGCCACGTCTCAAGCAGCTTCATGCATTCCTAATGAAATCGTTGCCGCTGCAAACTTCGTAATTAGACGTCTTACTATAGAAAGCAACAAGCTCCTGTAGGTTTAATTCCCGCTTTGAAATTTGTCCTTGCGTGGTCCTTGCAACTTAAAAGCTCTATGTATATACCTGTTTACGTATTAAAGAGCATTTCCTCATTCGTTTCCACAAATTTACATAGGAAAATTAAAATTCTAAGGGCAAATAGATGCTCACTACGGTTGATTAACGACCGCTCATAATGTGCTTTATTGAGAAAAACGGAGGTTTATCGCAATTTAAAGATTTATCTGTATTAGTATATTTAAAGGCATTCGATACTGTCTGACTTATCTAAGAACGCAGCGCTTAAACCACTGAATTTTGCACACATATAGCTATTATAATGTAAGGGTCCGCTAAGAAAGGATTTTCCAAAACTCACTCCCTACTGGGGTAAAACAGGGGTTCAAAGTTTGTATGCGAGACTAATATTTTATATACTTATTTCATTTTATCATGGATTGCCTGGAAGAGATTGCTATTTAGCAATAAGGCCACCCATTGTGTAATATCTCTCAGTCAGTGTTATACTTTTGTATACTACTTTTAGTATTTTACCGTTGTGTCCTTTGTGGTGTTATAAAAAAGATAATATTATATTATTATTGTTATTAATATTTTCACGCAGACGATGTCGCAAGTAACTTCTAGATATTCAATAATTTGCTAAAAATATCTCGGTAACTAACCTCGGATACCAAAGCTTATCTTTATATAGGTTTCTGAGAACGGTAGTCAGTGAAGCAAGAATATTTGCCTGATAACATGCATCAATAGATACATACCCACTTCCTTAATCATAATCATAATCAAAATCATTTATTCAGTTTAGGCTGTTACAAGCACTCATGAATGTCTAGAAGCTACGCCATCGGTTCGTAAAGGATGGCGAACTCCCATACAAATTATTGATGAAATATTTTTTTGCGTCAATAAATGAATTACATGTTAAATTATACAGTTTAGATTCTCGATTTGATTCGTCTTATTTTTTTTATTATAGGAAGTCTAGATTTATAGATATTCTACTTTGAAGTTTTGGAGGTTATGTCATACCAAGTAATACAAAAACGAATTAATAAAGTATATTCAGGAGTATTTTTAGATCAAAATAAAAAATACGTGCAACAGAAGTATAAAAGTATACCGGTCCCGTAGATTAGTGAGGAAAAAAAATGATTTATATAATGTATGATCAGCGGGCGTTACCGACCGCGCCAAAATAAATACTTAAAAGACAAGGGTTATTGAGTTCGAATACAATGTCTGTGCTGTAAGAAGTACCTAAAAATTTGAAAAAGCCCACAGCAATAATAAAGCATAAAAAAGGATATCTAATAGTGTTTTAATGAGATGTTAATTAAATATGAAATACTTTTTTATATATTTTTATTCCACATCTTCTTTCACCACAATATCATCGATTTTTTAGATACAATGAAATAAAATCCTCAGTATAGGACAGAATCTTGTCCTAAATCCTCAGCAAGAAGTCGTCCCAAATATCAGATTCTTAGTCTCAGGCAAGCACTTCTCAACCAGGGTTCTTACCCCCGAGATCTTTCTCGAAAGTCCAAAAGCAGTCCAAATCACATAAAAAACATATCTCAGAAAAAAAAACACACTACGCCGATTTAAATCTCTGCAATACGCATGCACAAGCAACCATAATGATAACAACAACAATTCGATGACAGCATGACAAGAGAGTTATAGTTTTTTGCGTTAGAATTGGCGCCATACTCTTTTTGTATTGTGGAGTTTATTTATTAGGGTTTCAGTATAATATTGAAAAATAATGTTTCCCGACATTTTTGATAGATTGTTAAATATAATTTAATCGTAAAGCGATGCAAAACAACATACTTGAAGTTGATTTTATCACGAAAATCACTTAAACTAAATGGCTCAAAAGCCACGATGCCAAGCCACAATAAAAAAAAATAAGAAATAGTCAATTATGTTTCCCTTTTTAAGTTTTGAATTACAGACTTAGACAACCCTCATAAATTATAATTAATAAATCTTTTGAGAATATTTTATTAATATTTCTGATAATAACATCTATAGACGATAAAGATTTACTTCAACAAATATTTCGCCATTGTCCTCTACGGCGGGAGACCTTGTACTGAGAAAAACCGTCAAGAAACTAAGCAAGGGCTGTTTTTTTTTCATTATTTAAGAAATAACAAAAAAATCTGTTTTTTCATTATTTAAGAAATAATAAACATATACACATATATGAAACATTTAAGAAATAGTGAATTTGGGCGGGATCAAGTCAAGATTGAATCACGTCATCATCATCAGCCTATTAATGTCCCCACTGCTGGGGCACAGGCCTTCCCTATGGATGGAACAGGGAGATTGGGCCGTGACCCACCACGCGGGCCCAGTGCGGATTGGTGGGTGCTAACGACTGCAGATGCAACCGGGACCAACGGCTTAACGTGCCTTCCGAAGCACGGAGGAGCTCGAGATAGTAAATTTTTGGTCACCCATCCAATGACCGACCACTGCGAAAGTTGCTTAATTTCAACGATCGCAGCCGAACGCGCTAACCAGTTGCGCCATCGAGCACCTCATTGAATCACGTATTTACCCGTTATTTACCAATTAGAAATGAAAACCTACGAGTATTCCATGTTTCAACCTGGGCCCTGCCCGACTTCCAAATGAATCTGATATCAAATTCGGATTCAGGAAAAAAAATATGAAAACCAAGCTCAATCTTTTAATTGAATTAAAACATCAGGGACCTTAAGACATTTTCCGTGGTTCCATTCATCAACATACCAAAATTTATCAAAATCCGTTTCACCGTTCAAGTAGAAAATCGTACATATAGACTTGGGGATTTATAAAGGAGATTGCTCAGCTTCCATACATGTTTGGCCTAAAAACCAATAACCATGAAAAATTGTTTCCTAGATTCGAAATTATATATAAATTACCGTAGAAACGAATATTATCGACGGCAACTCCTGAGAACTTTTATAAACCATATACACTGAATGATTTTGTGGTTATGTTTGCAAATAGGCACATAGGTATTAGAATAATAAAAACCAAATAACTTATATAGGAAAATAGGGCAATCAAGCCAAGTACCGATATTATGTATTAGATTCAGGTATATAGAGCATGTAAAATAACAGATAATTGCCTGTTTTTAAAATTAATGCACAAGAGTAAGTTTTAAAATCATGATTATGCCATTGCGACTTTCAGAAGCAATCTTGTTTCATTTGACAATTATTAAATTTACTTTATTATTTAATTAAATTTACTATCAAAATACTTATTTATATTTACTGGTAACGAGGGCTGCTAATCAGCGATTGAGGAGTAGTTCTAATATAGTAAAATGACATGTTTAGTATAAATAAATTGTTTAAATAAAATGTTTTTACAAATAAACCGACTTCATAAAAGCAAAACCACTAAAATTAAGAAATAAGTAATACATTATTATTATTCAACACATTTGCTAAAAAATGCATATTCGAAGGTTCTATACATTGTTCGAAAGTTCAAAGTTCAAAATTACGCACAATACAACAGAGCGTGCTTTTCAGCTCTGTTTACTTCATTGGGGCCTTAGAGTTAGCCATGTTTATAGTTTAATTTAAAATATACAGGCTGTTACAAAAATACAAATAAAGCTTGAAGTGCGTTATAGTACATCATGTAAGAAGACTTCTTTAATTTTCTTAAAATATTTGCAAGAAGTTTTAACTTTTTATAAAAACAGTTATTTTAAATGATTAATAATAATATCGATCATTTTAAGATACGACACTAGTTCGAGGATCATTAAAAATAACTAGATATCACTGACCATATATTACTGAAAAAAGCGTGTGGCGCTTCATTATAAAATTTTAACTGAATTGTTAAGAATTATGAGCTCGATGGTACCATAATATTGTATTGTCATGTAATCTACATATAGTTTCCAAGTTTTACTATGTTCAGACGAATTTTACGAGCCTAACTCGATTTTTTTACTAATAGGCCGTCCAGGGTATATCTGCCACCTTCCAGTCCATAGTCAGGTCCTCGTCATCAAGAAAAATGAGCAGATTATGTTAAGATCAATCTAATGAGCCCAAACTCGATCCCCCTTATTTATAAACGAGGAATAAGCTAAGACTAGTTACGCAGTGTTTTGTTCATATCTAGATATGAACAAAACACTGCGTAACTAAAACACTGCATTCCTAAATGGTAATTTAGGAATTTCAAAAGTCCTGACAAAATTCCTGACATTTCGAAAAAAGTCCGGACTTTTAATGCACAAAATGGTACCATTACTCAATTATTATATTATATTAGTATTGTATTTAAATCAATATGTATTTTTATTATTCGTATTCAATGTAATTTTAAAAATCCGGACAATGACGCAGGCAAAAACTCTGTTTACAGACGACGGCGCCTTTAAGAGGCACACCGCCGAACGGACCTCCCTCTGGCTCCCGCAAACCTTACGAGCCCCCACAGTGGCTGCCCACTGAGGACCCCT